GCAACTTACGATCTTGTTACAGAACTTGCGGTATCCGTGGATGCTACTGCGTGTCAGCTTCTGCCTCGAACTATTATAACCTAGACACTCACATCTTGACGTCCAGGTTAATGTCTCCACCACCTGTGGTGGCGTTGATCATGGTGAAACGCAGGGCGTCTGCGCCGCACTGGGGAATACCATCGGGGAACGCAGTCTTCTGGTATTTGGTTGCCTTCTGGACCTCATTAAGGGGGAGGTTTCCTTGGCCGAGCTTGTCGTGGAGAGTCTGCAGCTGAATGCCGGAGATGACGTCCAATGGGTCAACAACGTTGCCCAGACTCTTGCTCATCTTCCTGCCCTCGGAATCACGGACAAGACTGTGGCAGTAGACCTCCTTGAAGGGGACATCGCCGGTCATCTTCAGACCAAGCATGATCATTCGGGCGATCCAGAAGAAGAGAATGTCCCAGCCAGTTTCCAAGACCGAGGTGGGGTACAGGTTCTCCAGGTCGTGCGTCTTGTTGGGCCAGCCCAGGGTGCTGAAGGGCCAAAGGCCAGACGAGAACCACGCTGCGTGAACGATTAGCTTCGCACCAGAAATAAGAGATGCTCTAGAAACTCACTGTCGAGAACGTCTTCATCCCGCTCAATTGTGAATTTCTTTCCGGGAAGGGCGGCCTTGGCCTTCTCCTCGGCCTCCTGCTCAGTTCTTCCAGCAAACCACAACTTTTCCTCGGGAATGTCCCCAGCACCTCCCTCGATCTTAGCGAAGTAGACAGGGCACTGGTGTCCCCACCACAGCTGTCGGCTGATACACCAGTCGTTGATGTCCTCCAGCCAGCGGTAGTAGCTCTTCTCAGCCGACTCGGGTCGGATCTTGATCTTGCCATCCCTGACAACCTGGAGAGCCGGCGCAGCCAGGTCCTTCATTCGGACCCACCATTGAGGCTTCATGAGAGGCTCAATAATATCCTTTGACTTGTCACACAGAGGAACCTTCATGGCGTTGTCCTTCTTGTCCACATACAGGCCCTTGGCCATCAGGTCATCCTGGATGGTATACCGGACATCAAATCGCTTTTGGCCCTTGTAGGGACCCGTGTTCTCGTTCATCAAGCCGTCGTCAGTCAGAATGTTGATGAACTCAAGGTTGTGTTTCTGGCCAAGGGTGAAATCGTTCGGGTCATGGGCAGGGGTGAGCTTGACGGCACCGGTTCCAAACTCCATGTCGACATACTCATCGGCGATGATGGGAAGCTTGCGTCCTTCAATGAAGGGATGGAGCGCAGTCTTACCAACCAGGTGCTTGTATCGGTCGTCGTTGGGATGGACAGCAATACCAGTATCGCCAAGCATGGTCTCGATACGGGTGGTGGCGACCTCGATGGTCTCATCAGATCCCTCCACGGGGTACTTGAAGTGGACGATGATTCCGAACTCGACCTTCTTGTCGTAGCCAGGGACGTCGAGGAGAGTGCGACCGGTCAGCTCCTTGTTCACGACTTCGAGGTTGGAGAGCGCGGTGTTGAGCTTCGTGCACCAGTTGACGAGACGGTTGGCTCGGTAGATGGTGCCCTCTTCGTGAAGCTTAACCCAGGTCTCAGTAACAGCGGCAGAGAGGTTGGCGTCCATGGTGAAAGCTACGTCTCGTTAGCATACGTATGAAAAATCCAATATTGTTGGAACCTACCCTCTCGGGTCCAGTCGAAGGATGATCCCAGGCTGGTCAGTGCCTTGTTGATGCGCTTGTGGTAAACTTCCTTCCAGTCCCAGACGGTCTCAACAAACTTGGTTCGTCCGAGATCGTGTCTGGTCTTGCCCTCACGCCTCCACAGCATGTTTTCGACAACGCTTTGAGTCGAAATACCAGCGTGGTCACAGCCGGGAAGCCACAGGGTAGTCTTGCCCTGCATTCGGTTCCACCGGACCATTAGATCCTGTAGCGAGTCTCCCAGAGCGTGTCCCATGTGCAGAGCGCCAGTGACGTTGGGAGGAGGGTGGACGATGACGAAGCTGCCCTCATCCTTGACCTTGCCGTCTTCCTTGAACTCGGGCTTGAACAGACCCTCCTTCTCCCACCAGCTATACCATGCCGACTCGACGGCAATGGGGTTGTAGGCCTTGAAATGGGGATCGTCGAACGATCGGATGCGCTTCTTTTCGCCCTCGGGGGTATCTTCGACGTACTCGGGCAGGGGCTCCTCTTCGGCCTTCTTTTCCTTGACCTTCTTTTCCTTGACGGACTTGGGGGCGCTCGACACCTTTGCTTTCTTGGCATCGAACTTGGCCTGTTTCTCGGCCTTCTTGCGGTCCCTCTCCACTGTATGTGTTAATCATTCGTTGTGGGACGGGTGTAGATGGGCGATTGTCCATAGCCGGGCACATACACTCCTTTGCAGTCTTCACCTTGGGCGCACCATCAGCGTCAGTCGCAGCGCCAGCAGCCGCAACGGCGGGGGCAGCGCTCGTAGGCTCTTCATGGCCCTCGCCAGCCGCAACTACACAGTACAGCGCATTGATTAGCGATTCGTTTGGTATACTGTCGGTGTCAAGCAATGCGTGCGTACTTGGGTTTCCTCGACCGGTGTTGGTCGCCATCGTGAGTCGCGTGGTCGTCAAGCGTCGTGCCGGGGATACAGAGCGCACCCGAAGAGCTCGAACCGCGAGTCGGAACGTGGTGCCGGAGATAACTGTATGAAGCCCGGAAAATGGGGCTTCAGACGGTGTCCTAACACGATAATTGACTTGAAAGCTCACAAGAGTGACTCAGTGTAATTAGAGGCTCTCGATAACAGATGTAAGACGCCCACAAATTTGAGTCATGGGCCTCGAGATCGGATGTGCATGGTGGGATGAGGGGCAAGACGCTTGTGTGGCGGTGCACGGCAAGAGGGGCAGCTTCAGCCACATCGAGGAAGCCTCAGCCCTCAGCTACAAGTGGTGATGGTGGATGTTTTCGAGAGACCCGTGGTTGCGGTGCTAGGGTCAGTTCAAGGGCAATTACCTTTTTCTATCTACACGTATCTAGATCCAACAACCACATGACTCCGTCTTGATGGCATTGGCACTAAGCTTGGCATGGCGAGCTTCGAGGGGCCGATCATGGTGCAGCGTCGTCGCAACGGGCGCTCGTGCGAATAGAGCATATTCAACCAGGAATGACTACAGCTTCTTCTCTGTTGATCTGGGCGCTGACAGAAAGGTACATTTCCTGCTTGTGCACGATTGTTCAATTTCTCTCGGCCTGCTGACTCCCTCTCCCTCCTAGAACCTGTCTTCGCTTCTTCAACGGATCAAGACGAAGGTGAAGCTAGCCAATCCCAACCGTCATGACGCAGCTGTAGTCCTCGCGACCCCCCAGTATGCGAAATTGCTAGAGGAAGACGTCTTCATGAACGAATTCGTTGACTTCATATCGGGCTCTGAGCAGCTAGAGCAGTTCCACGTCCTCGGTGCCGTGGTTGACCATATTGCTCCTCCTTTGCTCAGGAACAAACCCATTCAAGGCTTGTCCATATTGAGAGGCCCCTTAGGCTCAATCCTCCCAGATCTATGGAACCCAGCACCTCCGAAGGCTGTCGAAGATGCCGACAAGGTCGCAGCGCTCACCATCGACTTTGGCGATCCCCACTTGACGATCCCATTAGCCAATACCACGTTCCTGAACCACCGGACCTCTACCCTCCTCGCGAGCCGATTTGATCTCAGCCAGGGATCTCCTCGCCTCGATGAGCGAATCGAGAAGCACTGGCAGCAAATCATTCTACCGCTCGAGAAGCAGCTTCAGTCTGTCAAGGATCTAGGTCTTTGGACACCACTGGTTCCCCTCACTCACCCGCGCGTGGTAACTGAAAGCTTCGGCAACATCGTGCGGCGTGTAAGTGTAGATGGCGAATCCACTCCAGCTTCTAACGAGCTCGAGCCTGCGGTCGATGAGCTGCATAACAAGAAGTCCTACCTAGTGCAGCAGTCTAGCATGGGGGTGTGGGCAATGATCATGCCACCTCTGTACTCACAAACTGGGACCGACCTCTGCGGCGCTTGCGATCCAGATCCGGCTGCAACTTATGATGAGAATCACTCCGCCACGGAACTCATGGCATCTACCTCCAGTCGCCTTCAAGAACTCTACGGGCAAGGTGGCCGCTTGTACCAGATACGTGTGTGATCCATGAACCAGGGATCGAGAAAAGTGCTAACATAACTGAACAGTGAGCGGCGGCGGAGGTTGGGGTGCGAAGAAAGGCCTGCTGTCTCTCGATCCTCAACGGACCCACTTCTCCCTATCAGAGGAAGAGGAGATGCAGAGATTCATCCAAGCTATGGACGGTGGCAACTTTGTGCCCGTCGGCTCAATGATTCAGTTCTTCGCGTCAACAGAGACAACGGCCAATCAACCGGCCAGTGAATCTTTCACGGGCGTCATTTTTGGCACCGCGGACACCTCTCATGCTTCAGGAAATGAGTCCCCAGAGAGTGATCCAATCATTATTGATAATTTGTTTGGTGCATTGTCCAACGACGGGATATTTGTTACTTCATCAGATCCTGCTGCCGATACCACCCCGGGATTCAACAAGGACTGGAGACTTAACGTTCCACACTCCCGCATTTTCGTCAAGAAGACGGATTGAGGAAAGGAGGTGGGCCTTTTCAAGCAACGGGCATAAGATGAGCTTGCGTTGACGGTTTAACGTGTATGTATGTGTACGATGGAACTGGTGCATCATACTCCCTAAATATGGACTCAGCGTATCCAGTGTCAAAATTGAGGGTGCTCAAGCAGCGTCACATAAAATCGTCGGGCATATAGTACTCGAAACAAGAGTATAGCCACTTAGTTCCGTAACAAAGTAATAGACTTAAAGAAAACCATTGCATCGTCGTGGACTTTGCACCGCTCAGGCCTGGAACCCAGGGCCATTCTGTTGACGGTGCATTTCTGTATGGGCGCATCGGCCCACATCTAGGTTTAGGGCTCATATACTTGATTTTCAGGCTACAGTCTCAACAAATCCGGTAAGATGGCCGAGTTGGTTATGGCGCCAGGTTAAGGTTAACCTTGACAATAATTCCTGGTGGAGCAATCCTCCTGGGTTCAAGTCCCAGTCTTATCAAGTTTCATTTTTTGCTTCATTGACTTTTTGTTTGCTCACTTAAAGACGTGGTTGGGGTTTTTTTTTTTATGATGCGTTTTGCTTGTCAACAAGCGTATATGGTTGCTAATCACACGAATGTGGTCTTGCAGGTACTCGTGGGGTATCACAATGGCATTATCTACATCTACCCAAACATTACTAAAATGGCTGTGCGTAGGTGGATCATGTATATAATGAGCGATGAGCACTTGCTGATATGTATAGTAATGAAACTTATTACCCCAGCAGCAACACCAGCTACCGCACCAAGCCACCCGTAGGGACCCGGGCGGCCTCCGAAGCGGCCTCGGGCCGGGCCGGACCTGGGTCCGGCCCCGGCGGTGTTTGGGCCGATAGACCGAATGAGACAGCGTATGCTATCGAAAGCAAGAGAAGGCATATCGAGCGTGCCGAGCAGCGAGGAGGATGACAACCGGGAAGACGAGGAAGAATAGCGAGACCGACTCGGACCCGCCCTGGGACCGTGGGAATTCCGGAGCACCATTCGGGCTAAGCCGTATGAGGATTTTTCATATGCGGGCACGTTACCTGCCCACAACTTATATCACTGCGCACGCGAACCGAACCCAACTTGTTTCCCCCTCGGGTATAAGTGGCAGGGGGTTTTTTATCCTATAGCTTGCTATTAGGTTTTTCTCTCTATTATAGATTAGTCTAAGTAACTTAGAAGAAGGACTGGATAGCTAGCTAGCTAAATCAGGGTATAAATAAAATAAATAAAAACTTATTACCCTTTATTCTTAGTGTTTTGTCTTGTAAGTCCCGGATGTTGAAATGGTTGTTCGTAGCTGGTTTTCGGGCAATTCAGGTGGAAACTCACTGTGCAAGTCAATCGAGTTCCAGCGAGTAAAATGACCTCATTTATTAGCAAGGGATAATTCAGGTTTACCATCCAAGAATTTCACTTAAACGAGGAATCAAGTTCGAAATAATTAATACAACAAATGAATACGACGATGTACTCTGTGCTCGGCGAAATTGGCTACTTGTTAAGTTACATCGCCCCCAGGTGAGAGAGTTCAGGGTAGGCTCCTTGGTCAGAAAGTTAAAAACCAAGGTCAAATACCTACGTTTTGTAGGTCTCTCTTGGTTCTGATTATGAATCGGGATTTACATGATAAGACAGTGGAGGTAGTCGAGCATTATATAGCATGGATGGGGAAACCTGGGTGCTCGGTGTGCCAAGGTAAACCATGTCCAAAACACCGGGACACTCGGAACTATATCCACCTAATTGGACAAACCGCCGAAGAGGTTCATCAGCCGCAGTGGCCATACTGGCTGATGACAGGAGGCTAAGAAATCCTGCCGAGGGTTTGGCATTGTCATACACCCACCATTATTGTGCTGGTCGACGTCACTCGTCCAGGATTGGACGCGGGCAACACCAAAACCAGATTTGGTGTCGCGGGGTAGGTTCGATCACCCGATTGCCTCCCAGCAGGGTTACATCATGACGACCACGGAGCGTTGGGTGTTATAACACGGCACGCCCAGAAAATGGATTCAGCTTTTGGTCTGCAACCGGGGTTATCAAACCCGACACCTGCAAAACATTTTTTGCCATCCATCCCATCTGCTCTGAACGAATATTCAAACCATGACACCCAAACCGGGAAAAGCTGCGTCGTTACCCCAAGTCTCCGAAACGGAGATACAGAAGCCTCCCACCGACAAGCAGACGCCACGGCATACACAGAAGCGGCAACACTCCGACTCTGCGCCACCTCGTCGAAAGATAATAAAGCCGACCGAGATTGTCTCGCCCAGCGAAGATGACACGGACAGTTCTGATACATCCGACGAGGATGACGTAGACAGCGTGGACTTGTCGGAAGACGAGGACGAAGAAGAGGAAGAAGACTCCGACGATGACGAGGACGATAGCTCAGAGGAAGATGACTCCAACGATGACGCAGAGAGTGTCTACCTGTCAGATTCAGATGAGGCGGAAGAAATACACCCCACAACCGTCACTCGACTTCCAGCCGGAACCAGACGATCAAAAAAATCATCACGAAATCCTTCCAATTCCGTCGCCAGACCACAAGGCAACGGCGCATCACAATCACAAAATAATCTTGTTCAGACTCGGACCGAAACAACTCATTGGATGGTAGCTCAGCACCGATCTCAGGGCACTTCTCACAACGTGACCGTAGCTCGCGGATCGAGGACAACCCGGCAACAAACCATACATCAGCAATCCCAAAGGGAAAACAACACATCAACTGGACAAAGAGGGGAACTTCGGAGGGGAAACAGCTTGAGGTTGAACATGAGCTTGAATGTAGACGTCCAAGTCAATGGGCTCGTGACGGGCCGGAATTTGTCTCTTGCTGGCGTAAGCGTCCCCCCCCTCATCTTAAGTGATAACTTGGCTGATTAGTTATAGGGGCAACTCTCTTATATGTGGTCTGGGAGCAACCGTAGTTAGTCGAGTTTGAAAGGGAAAGTGGAACCAATTATGCTGCGTTATCTATGGGTCAGGGCAGTGGTTACCCAACCGGCAAGCGTGAAGGAGATGATTTTGAGATTTCGTGTGCGGTTTGAATTCTGGTGATGTACATAGTTGAACTTTGACAAGATAGTTACTCGATCATGTCGATGTCGTCCACGTGCGTAGTTGCCTGCGCCGGAGCTGCAGATGCGTTAGTGGCCTCTGGAGCCGGTGCACTTCCACCGAAATAGTCTTCCATCTCCGCATCGAGCTCCTCTTGTGTCTTCTTTGAGCGAGGGTTGCCCCGTCCGCCGCGTCCACCCTCCTGATCTCTGGCCCTGTCTCGGTTGTCTCCGCTGTCTCTGTTGTCTCGGCGCGCACCGGGACGACGACCACCACGTGGTCTCCGTGGCATCGGGCTCCTCGATCGACTACCATGGCCGGGGACATATCTGTCAATGCCCTTGAGGGAAGCGTCCTCGTCGTTGATGTGACGATGGGGGGAAAGAGACCGAGCCCGATCTCTAGGAGTGGAGATGCGCTCCGCCAAGGGGCGGCCAGGCATGACAGCCGTGTCGAAGGGATTCCGGGCTGGGCCGCTTGGCAGCAGGCTCAAACGGATGGGTTGCCCTGCACATAGTTTAACACGCGGATGACACACAAGGATGCGAGTCGGCTTACCATTAGCATTGGCACCATCAAATTGCTTCACAGCCTCCTCGGCGTCCTCCTTCAGCTCGTAAGTCACGTAAGCTGTGCCTTCTGATCGGCCAGCGCGATCGTAGCGCAGCTGAAGTCGGACGACCGGGCCGATTCTCTTAAAGAGTTCCTAGAATTCGAGTGAGCAAAGGTATTGGATACATGTCAGGTTGGTGGGCACTTACGTCAAGGTCGTCCTCGGTGAGGTCGTAGTGGATGTTTTCCACACGGACCTTCGCACCCTTAGAATCGCTAGAGAGGGAAAAATGCCGTTAGAGGATGGCTTGCGGTAAAAAAAGTTGAAAGTAACATACTGATCGGGCGAATCGCGGCGACGACGTGGAGCAGGACCTCTGCGAGAGTCTGAAAACAGGTGAGACTCGAAGATATTAGAATGGGCGGCAAAGAAAATTACTGTTTTCCTCGTATCGGTCGTGGACCCATTCACTATCTTGTATTAGAAACCGGTCGAGAGGGGCCCTTGGGAAGGCGACTGACCTGTCCAGGTTTCGGGATTCGTCTCGGAAGGACTGTACGAGGGAGGGATGCTCTGGTCAGCAACGAATTTCAGATTGCAAAGCCGTCTTGAATCGCCAAAAGCTCCGAGCATCGATCGAGGAGCTGCGAGGACGGGCGAGGGCGTCGAGTAGGCATCATCAGAAGATGGGCGGAAGGGAGGATTAATCAACCTGGGGAGGCAAGACGTTAATACTGGATGAAACCCGGAGGAGGCAGAGGGGAAGGACGGATGGACAAGACACTGACCTTTTTTACCCCGTCACGGGGGTATTCCTGGCGAGGTTCGCGTTCGCGTCGGCGACCTCCACCACCACCTCTACCACGCTGGTTGCGAGGTCCATTGTTGGAGCGCTGCAGAGAAAGTCAGTCGAGTTGGTAACGGGGCGCCGCATGGCTGGGCGCCGGCGCGAGAGGATGGGACAAGACATACGGTGTCGGCGATGATCTCGTCGAGACCGCGGTCCATCTTGTCAGCCATTATGGCAAGGTTCGGTCAAGAGAAAGGGTCCGGGTTTGATAGAGGAACCCTAGTGTAGAGATTGTTGCGGAGACGAGGCGACGTTGAGTGAGAGAAGCTGTACGACTTTGGCGAGAAGAAGGCTCCGTTGCTGTGAGCGAAGACGGGACGCGGCTGGGTTGGCACCTGAGGTGGCGTTTGGCGCCGGGGCCGGGCGGTATGAATTCCGGTACGTACCGACGACCGAGATGTCTCCAGCCACACCTCAGGCCCAGGGAAGCAAGTGCAAGCCGCATTCACCACTTGCCGTGGGGAAGTGGGGGTGTTTCCAGCACCCCAAAGGCCTGTTGCTAGAAGCAGGTACTGTACGAATACCGTCAGGTGCTGTACTATGTAAGGCAGGCAGATGGGTAACTAATCCTTGCATTGCAGCCGATGCATGAAGCCTTTTCTTTGCTTTTGGTGATATGGAACATGGAACGACTCAATTCGAAGCAATTCAAAGAATGGAACCGTACGTGGAGGCAGCACTAATAATAAATCTGTGCTCTGAGCACACTGACAGTAACCGTTGTAGATTGTCACTCCCCCCTTTCTTGAGCGGCACCCTCCCTCCCGGTGCGGTGGGCGTTCCATGTTTGAGACCGAACATCGTGGCATGCCGGCCCGGTGTTTCTCCGCTCGGGCCAGCCGCGCTAAACTTGTTTGAGATCTCCAATTCAACTCTAAGCTGTCCTCCTCGAGGCGAATGTGCCCCCATCCCTTGTTGGCTTGTCTGGCAGCCCGGTGCCCTAGACATGATTTCCATCCCGTCATAGTCCTGATATCGTCCCCTCTGCGTGT